CCCCCTCCCCCGGTGCTTACTGAACCACGTCAAGTAATTTTCTAATTATATTTGGATATTATTCCTTCCAACTAATATGATTTGGCGTGAAGTAGTAGGGGAAGTAGGGAAAGTTCAATGCACACGAAAGAAATCGAGGAATGAAGTAAAATGAGAAGGAAGTCATTGGAAAATTGTAAGAATTAAGCGTAGCGCATTCTACCATGAAACTCCGAGCTACAAGGCCGTCTTCTCGCTCGAGCACAAGTACCCGATGTAGCATGATATTCCGGAAAACGTCGTGCCAAAATGAAAGTGTTCAATAATTATCTTTGATTTTACATTATCAAATTAGTTACCCAAAGTATTTCAATGCTTAAAAATAAAAATTGGATAAGAGAATAATTTCATTACATACCTTGGTTCGTTGGCTGTCTTGCTCTCTGTAAATCAGACATTTTTATGGAATCCTCTTAGGAAAACAAAATTGAACAATTTTTCCTCTTCAACAAAATGGGCGTTACATGTAACAGCCAGTCACGAGACGCGTCTTGGGCTTGAGTACCTGCTAGTTTTGATGCAAATATAGCGTCCAAAATGTCGTGGATGTTTCAGCCAAATCAAACGACGAACTCCGAGATCAATTTCCGGTAACCCTAATAAACTTAATGACGGAAACGCCGAAAGACGTTTGGTTGCTACATCCTCCCCTCCCCTAATGTATCGATAGGATCAAAGCGTAACAAAAGCCTGATTTTCAAAAGCTAGACGTCATTTCCTGTCTCAAGCCCGAATGTTTATCGGCTGAATCACTAGTTTCAAGTTTTATTGGTCGATTTGAATCAGATAACAAGAATCAAAGACTCAAAATTATCAGTTTCAAAACCAAGCAATTGCAAAGTTCCGAGCAAAGAGTTGTACACACGCAAAGGAAAGCCATCGAAAATGGCAACTTTCACCACGAAAGAAGGATATTTTCACCTTTGTATATAAACCGATACTTATTTTTCCCTTTCCCCTATTTTTTGCCTCATTTCATATTGACCGGCAGCCGAAACGAATATTTAAAAAATTATTTAGTTACAAAAATTAGTGAATGTAAACTTTTGCTGTAAAAATGGCCCAAAATGACCTGTTTTGCATCCTTCTTAAATAATACATGTTTTTTGAAAAGGTGTGAAAATGGACCAAAATCGGCCAAAACCATAGGCTATAGTAGTTCCTCATTGCATTTTTTCATGGCCGAAGTTGCTGCTGACTGCTGTTAAGTTGCAGTAGCCGTTGCTTTTGTTGTTTTGGCTGCTGCTGCTGTATTTGCTGTTGTAGTTGCTGATGTTGTTGTTGTCATTGTAGATGTTGCCGTCTGTTGCTGCTGTTGCAACTGTTTTTGCAACAGTGCCACAGTGCTGTCGTCAGTGGTTGCTGCTGTTGCAGTTATCGTTGTTATTTGCTGTTGGTATTTTACTGTCTCTGCCGCAATGTACAATATATTGATAGTATTTAGCTCAGTTTGAATACTATTTACAAATACCCTTACTTGTTTCTTGTCACCAGTCCGAGTATCCCATAAACGGATAAGCCTCAAAGTCACAGAGTTTTTCTCCTTTGGCGTAATGTAACGATTTAAAGCATTTATCGCAGAAGAACGAAGGGTCTTCACTAGCCAATATATCGTTTTTCGTAACCCATCTAAAACGAAGTAAAAAGACATTTTAATGAGGGGAAAAGTCTTCTAGTCTGTTAGGATTTGTATTACCGCAAGCCCCTAAAGTTCCGGACACACGGTGCAACATTGCACGCAACATGTCACGCAACAGGACTGTTGCAGAGTGTCTCCCCAACGCAAATGCAACAGATCTGAAGTTGAATCGTACTCTACTCTTGCAACATTGCGCGCAACAAATTTCATCGTGTGAACAAGGCTGCAACATTACCTGCAACATTTTGAAATTTCCAGACAATCAGCTTGCACCAACTTTATACTAGTAACTGCTGACCAAATATCTTAGCATTGCAGGCTGACACAAGCGATGTTGCGTGATTTTGTTGCAAAGTGTGTCACCCGGATTCAAATTTGTTGCTTGCAATGTTGCACCGTGTGTCTGCGCCTTAAACAGACGTCAGTCTAACATCGTCACGCAACGCTTACCTCCCCACAAAAGTTGCGTGACGACCATAAAAATGTCTCGGAAGAAGTAGTATTAGTCTAAACCTACTAATGGCTTATTTTTCTCTCTGCCCAAATTGATTTCGAGTAACATTAACTACGAAGATAAATTATTTACTTACTCTGCAGTATAGATGTTACACACACGACATCGCCGCCGCCTGCACCGATGTTTGAACACTTGTAAAGGGTAGTCCATTGCATTCTTGCTGTCATCTACATGAAGTAATCTGTTAAAACAAAAACAGCTTCTGTTATGCCATTTCAAATGGCACATCTCTTCACCAAAAACTAGCCARTTCATGGTACCGACTCTCCTTAGTTACTGCTGCTGTCTTTTACTCCGACGAAGGACTAGCGTCCGAAACGTCAGTAAGTTTTTTCATCTTTTCACGGTGTAGAATTTACCCTTTTATTATTACTGTTTCATTAGAAACACCGATGCAGCTCACACTAGTTTTTAGCTAGTTATCTCTTCTTATGTCCAACAAGCTCTCAGAATTGAAAAACTTTGATTGTGGAAATTTGATTTATTAATTAGTGTGATTGCTTACTGTCGTGTTAAAATAAAATAAGATTGCCTTATAATCCTTCAATTACTTTAACACTGTGTCGTTGTTTGTGGGGCAAGGTTTTTACTCCACTGGGAAAACTGCTGCAACAGTAAGTAGTTAGCTATTGACTGAGTCAGAAACTTGAATTCCAGTATGCCCTGAAGAAAGGGGTGATTTTTGCGGTGGGATGGGAACACCAGGAAAATATATATGAAGTACAGAAGTGAACCAGTAAATAACTCCACCATTATCATCCACATCATCCTCATTCTTATCATCACAACCATCACTAGCACCACCACCACCACCACCATGACCTACCACCACCACCATTATCATCACCATCATCATCATCACCATCCTCATCACAATAATCATCCCCATCATCATCATTACCATCCCCATCATCATCACCATCATCATCACCATCATTACCATAACCATCATAACCATCATCATCACAATTATCATCACCATCACCACCACCATCACCATCATTACCATCACCATCATTACCATTACCATCACCATCACCATCATTACCATCATCATCATCAACATCACTATCACCATCATCATTAGTTTGTCAACTTCTCTGACACATACCTCAGATCAGTAAAAATTATGAGGTGTTCACAGTTGCCTTGGTGACAGTAAAGATAAGGATAGCCTAATCTGATTGTGAGCTCTCCAAACACTGACTCATCCATTGACTTTGTTTGTGCTTCCTTTAGCTTGGTACTCCAGTCCTCATCACTGTCCTTGGCCCAGTCAGTGATTATCCTGGTAAAAATCAAGTGTGATATTAAAAACTCAGAGAGACGTTTTGTGCACAGCCCTTGATTGAGCTTCCTATAAAAAGACAACTTAAAATGCTGTTTCTCAAAATTGGAAAATGGTATTAGCTGCTTAGAGGTTGAGGGAAGAACTGGATCCAGGTGTCATTGCAGCGCATTTTGGACCGGTGCCTATTTCATAAAACGTTTTCGTTTTATTTCCTAAAACAACCCCAAAATTCACTGCAAAGCCTACTCAACCCAGTTTTTAAGCCTGAATAATAAGCCTGAAGCGAGATGACGTTTTACTCCCGACTCTATACCATAATAGTTTTTAAAATTCTTTCATATTAAAATTTTTGATTCCTTAGAGGATACAGGAACAATGGTCATAATTAAAGAACAAAAGCAGTGTGAAAAGGATTATGGTCTAGAGACAGGGGTAAAACGTCATCATGTTTCAGGCTTATTACACAGGTGTCTTGTGCCATTATCTGTAACAGCTGGGTTCCCAAAGACTAGATTTGTCTTTCTATCAGTCATCAATCATCAGTTAAGTCAGTTAATCAAATTATAGTGGCTTCAGTTAAAAGTAAATTTGGTGACCAATTTGAATAACTATTGTTCTGGACTGACAAGTTTTGTGTTCATGTGGAAACACAGAAGTGTTTTCCCATGTAACAGAGAGTATATGGTCTCCATATTTTGATTCTGTGTATGAAGTAATATTTTAAGAAATGGAAAATTTGTTTTAGCTACTGCAGTAAAATATATACATTTTTGTTCTGTACTGATTAATACTGTAACACTTTCATACTTAGTCACTGGAGAAAACTAGTATGTGAAATGCCTTGGGGGTGCAGGGGGTGCGAACAAACCACCCCTCCCCAAAGCATTTCCTAAAACACTTCAACAAATAACAAAAACTTTATGGTTACTGTCATTCTATTCTAACCGTTGACATTCAAGTTTGTTTTTTTTATTTTTTTTATTTGTGTAAATATACTTTTATTTCTTCTTTCTCCTTCATCTGTTTCATCTCCTTAAATAGCTTTTATAGACTTTCAATACATGTAACTCGAATTCTATTGTTTTCGATTCATAATCTGATTGGTTGACAAACTCAAGTGTTCACTTTTAGAGAAGAGGAGTAAATGTTCTCACAGAGTTCTTTCTATAACGCATCCCCACCCCCCTTCTCTGTTGACCTGTAGACCTACCTGCTGTAATCTCTAGAAAGACCATCCCTCATGTCATTATAAAACACATTTTCAATATAAAAGAATCCAGATTTACAAATATCCTGTAATTGGAAAAAGAACAAAATAAATTCCCAGAAACACCAAATCATTTAACACAATTTTCTCCTGATCGATGCTATAAACATTCATTATTCCAAAGTAACATACCTTGCATTTTGCCACTTGTAAAAGGTTTGGGTTGTCACTATGGTCACCTGGAACAACATGGTCTGATGCACAGTAAATTTTGTCTCGCAGTGAGGTAAGTTTCTATTTACAAATTAAATTAGTTTGGTCATCAAGCTATTTTTCTCTGAAAAAATTCAGGCTCCAGGCAGAACGTGACCTTCTCTTTGACAAACTGAGCTATATACTGAGCTACTTACTATTCATGGTTGTGAGCAAAGCAGTAGAATAATATTTTTCGCCTGGTCACTTATTGACAGAGACCTTTCCTAACACCTTAGACAATTATTCATGTCTCTATCATTGCAAGGTCACCGTTGTCCTTGCTTCGATACACAGGAATGATTATCTTTCAAGATGGTGCAGGGAACTGTGAAGGGGACTATCGATTGTTGAAAGATTTGAGAAGATGTGAGGCTAGCATTGAAATTCAAAAGAAATGGCAAAAATTCCATCAAGAAAAGGTGAGATTTATTTTGTTTTCATGTTAGTCTTGCATCCACAATAATTTTTAGAAGGGTTCATTCAAAAGTAAAAATTAAATAATAGGGTTAATCGTGACATACAAATAAAATGTGCATAGCAATTTATGTTAGGTATAAGCAGTCTACGAGTAATTTTAACCCACCTGATGTGATAGAACGAGAAATTCTTGAACTTTGTTTAACTAATAATGTAAAAATAAAAATAAGCATATATAAATATAATATTTATTTATGAATAATAGGAAAGCAAAGAAATGAAATAGAGAAATAATTAAGAAAGTTGAAGGGTAAGGTTGATGGCCTGATGTTACCAGTGGAGGGGGGAGGGAAAAAGAAAGGAATTAATGGAAGAGCGAAGGAACGAAAGAAGGAAATGAAGAAAAGAATAAAGGAAGGAAGGAAG